CGGCTGGGGGCTTAGTCATTTCGTAAGTGCTGGGTGGGGATCCACTCCTGTTTTAATCTGTCTGTTATAAGCAGAAGCTCTCCAAGGTGCTGAATCCCACCCACAAACTACCATCAGCATCTCAAATAATAACTCAGACAAAGGGCGACCTGAATTGGGGAGGGGGGGAGAGAAGAGGACAAATAAATGCCTTGCCCACCATCACCCCACTCCACCCATTAGCCCTCTTTCTGTCCCTCCTTCCCCCTCCTCCTCAGGCATCATCCTCCCTTTTTAACCTCTCTTTAGCCCCTTTGTGATCTGCTTTCCCATTCCTGCTTTGTTTCCTCTCTGGAGGGGGGCAGGAGGCCACGGGTTAACCAGGCCGCCCCACAGGAGAAAGGCACTCCCTGGGAGTAAAACCTCCTTAATCTCATTATTGCCATGAACTTCCTTTTCCCAGCAAGAAGCCTCCAGTGGAGTCTTTTTCTTCAAGCGTGGGAGGATGGGCTGCCGTTCTGCAGGCCGGTAGGGAATTTGAACCCAGGTCTCCTGAATCCTTCCACCACCTGGCTTCTCTGCACATGGGCAGAGTCTTTTCCTCTTGCCCGAGATCCTGCTCGCCCCAACCCCTGCACTCTCACAGAGGTCAGGAACTCTTAGTGGGGCCCTAACCCTGCTGTTGACTGGACCCGGGAGGCTTTCTTGCGGGGAAAAGGAAGTTAATGGTAATCAACCTGCCCCCTCCCCAAATTTTGGGGATCTAGAAGGAGGAGGGCAATAGATCTCTTTCCCTGCCTCTGGATGGAGACCCAAGAAGGGAGGCAGAAAGAGGCATAACGTTTTCCCCCCTGCCCAAAATATCCCCACCACCACCATCTCCTTCCTCTTCCACCTCCCCAGCTACCTTTCTCCCCCCCATCCTTCCTTTTTTGGCTTCTTCCTGCTTTTTATCTGTTTTTCTCCCCACCTTGGATTCTCCCCTAAGCTGGGAAAGAGAGGTGAGTGAGACAGAAGAATTAGGAAAAGCATGCCCCCCTCCGATTGGAGGAAAAAGAGCTGATCCAGACTGTGTTTTCCCTCCCCTTGGAAAGAGAAATGAAGGGGGGGGGAACTGAAGATATAGCAAGTGGGAGGGAGGGAGAGATTATGGAGGAACAGAGACCCCTCCCCACCTGGAAAGTGCAGGGCCTTTGGGGGGACCCCTCAGACTTCCTGGAGTCTGGACAGGGAAGGAAGGATCGGGACCTCCCCCCCCCCGAAGTCCTCTGAGGATGGAAAGAAGGAGCTGAGCTCAAGGTCCCCGAGAGGCAGATCTTCCCACCCTTCTGCAAAATGGAAGAATCTGTGACAATTTGCCTGTTTTGAAGGAAGATCTTACAGAAAGCCCCTCCCTGAAGATAGTTTGGTCGATCTATAGAAGCCCTTCGTTGGCTCTTTGTCAATGCATCAGGTAGTTTCTTGTGAACACATAGAATACCATTTTGTATTGACTTTCTGTCTGTCTGTTTTGTTCTCTTTTGCTCATTTTAAACTCTTCTTAGTGTAATTTAAGTTTATATTGTTATGTTAAACATGCTGGTGGGGGGCAACATTTACACACCTCTGCGTGTCTTACGCCCTGCTGTGGAGGGAGAGAGAGGGCACCAGCTATCGGGCAAAATCCTGTATGTGTATGCTTGTGTGTGTGTTTTTGATTGTGCATCGGTCAGTTGCCCTGGAGGGGAGGAAGCCTGTGCAGCCCAAGGACAGGGAGGAGAGTGCCTTGGCTCTCGCACACTCTCCACAACACGGACATCCTTCATAACAGAACCAGATGTACACATCGCCCCATCAGCCATAGTTCTGGCCTCCAGGCAGAATTACCAAGGTGGGGGTTGGGGCCAGGGCACTGGGGGCCAAATATTCTCATAATGGCATCTCAATCTCGTCCTTTTGTAGATGGCTTTGCTGTGGCACAAATCAAGTCTGGATGCTCTTTCGAACCCCAGGCCACAAAACTCCTCTGGGGCTCATCATAAGGCAGGGAAGGACCCTCAGGCTGGGAAAGGAGGAAAGGCAGCAGGAGAAGAGGAGGACCCTATACGAGACGGACGGACTCCCTAAAAGAAGCCCCAGCCTGGAGTTGATGCATGAGCTCAGCAGGACCGTTGAGGACCGGGCAATTTGGAGAGCGCTCCTTCACAGGGTCATCAGAGCCGAAGGAGAGCCCTGTGGTGGATCAGGCCCAGGGCCCCTCTTAGTCCCGCTTCCTAGGTATCTCTCCCCTTTGGCCCCACCAGATGCCCCCTGGGGAGCCCAAGAGCCCCCCCCCCCGATCCCAGTCTCCTGATGGGAACCCTCTTCCTCCCCTGCATACGGTCTTTTGGGTCAACACGAGGCCTTGACAACTTGGTGGCCCCGAACAACAAGCGAGTCCTCCGTCACTTCCAAGGGCCTTCAGCTCATGCCCAGGTTCTCACTTCATGACCCATTTCGTCTCTTTTTTCCCCGCTTTATTTTGTGATTTGAGTTTTGGCCCCCCTCTCCCCAGGGAGATCAGGAATGGGTCCTTTCTTGTCACCCTTCCAAAAAAAGGCTAAAGACCTCCGTCTCTTCAGGCAAACTTTTGACAATTGGAAGTGAATCCCTGAACTTCATTTTAGCAGTTTTAAATCTTTTCCATGTTTTCATGTTTTAACCTTTTTCATTGTATTTTAAATCATATATTGTTTTATTTGTCTTTTAATATTTTAACTTATTGTGCCCCGATGGCTCCCCTTTCCCCAAGAAGACGAAAAGGCGGGGGCTCTTAATTATTCTTTCAGGAAACCGTTAAGCGGGAGGGGGGAGGACCATAGAGGTAGGAAGGAGGAAGAGGAGCGCCTCTCC